ACTAGGCGCACCACCCCCAGAGGCAGCACTAACACCAGCTCCAGAACCAGGCTCACCTGAACCCGAAGGAGGCGCACCCTCACCCCCAGACGCAGCACCCCCAGTGTCCGCGCGGCCAGCACCAGCTCCCGGACGACAAGAGTCCTCTGCACCCACCGGGTCAGCTCCAACTCCAGAACCAGAAACTCCAGCTCCAACCCCAGCTCCAACTCCAGCACCCCCAGAACCAGAAACTCCAGTGCCAACTCCAGCTCCAACCCCAGCTCCAACTCCAGCACCCCCAGAACCAGAAACCGGTACAGGAACAAGCGCCGCACCAACCTCTCGAGAGCTAGCACCAGCGGCACGCTGCGAGGAGGACTGTGGGGAGGGAGGCTGTACCGGAGGGGCTACCGAAGGAGGAGGGGTAGCCTGGGACACACCTGACGGGGCTGGACCAGGGGGGGGAGGCTGTACCGGGGGAGCAGGAGGGGGAACGGCAGTCAGGAAGAGGGGGGGAGGAGGAACCGGGAGACCTCGACTGGGGTACCTGACGTAGTACGGAGTGGACTCCTCGAAACGGACGTCACGGGAGTCAAAGAACCGGTGAGAGGGAGGGTGGTAAAAGGTGAAGTCAGAGGAGTCCTCAGGGAAACCAAGGAAGACACAGGGGACGGCACGAGGCGAGAGCTTGTCCGCGGAGGTGTCGCGGACAAGAGCCAAGCACCCCCAGACACGAAACCGCGACGCAACACCAGGGGACCCTGTCCAAAGACTGGTCGGTGAAACCTCTGGTCGAGAGACACGTGGCCAGAGGTTCAGCTGGTGCGCGGCGTACCTGACCGCGTAGGGCCACAGAAAATGGGGGGCACAGGCGTGAGTCAGGGAGGTGCGGGCGATCTCCATGACCAGGCCTATGCGGCGCTCAGCAACCCCATTCTGCTGTGGGGACTCTGGAAGCGTCCAGGACTGACGAATGCCCTGCTCGCGACAGAATCCAGCGAGAATGCCGGAGCGAAACTCACCCCCACGGTCGGAGTGGAGACAGCTGACACGACGACCACGAGTGTCCTCAGTGGTGAGCAACCACCTGATCAGCGTAGAAGTCACCTCAGACTTCTTCGCCAGAGGGAACACTATGGTGTAGCGGGAGAAGTCGTCAACTACCACCAGAAAGTAACGCTCACGCTCAGGGCCTAGACGAGGGGCTGGGCCCCAGACGTCCAAGTGAAGCGTCTCAAAAGGCTCGGTGGCCGGACGAAGGGAGGAGGAGTGAGGGGTGGCGCGCAGCCTACCCTCGACGCAGGGACGACACGGCGGCGCAGGCGAAGGCGGCAGCGGCGGCAAGACACGTGGGAGGCCTAGGACAAGACGCTGACTAGACATAGCGCGCAGACGTGGAAGGGACGGGTGCCCCATCCGGTGGTGCCACAGAACGGTGGGGTGGGCAAGCGACCGGCAGGAGCACGACGCAGCGACTGGAACAGACGTAGGAACCTGACACGACACAGACACCTGGGGGGACGTAGCAACCTGGTGAGACGCGGGGACCCGAACGGGGGGGGGAACCGGGGGCAGTGGCAGTAGGGGGGGCTGCTGGTGCGGCCGCTGGTGCTGCTGCTGCTGCTGCTGCTGCGGCTGCTGCTGCGGCGCACGCGGGCCAGTGTGAAGAGTGTAGAGACCCGAGCCCGGCTCAGCAGTAAAGGTAGCAAGAGGCTGGTAAGAGTCTCCGTCAACACACACCGCAGTCTCTCCAGAAGGCTCAAACCACACACCCACGTGCTGACTCACGAGGGGTCGCACGCCCACCAAGTTCCGGGAGAACGAGGGGACGTGAAACCCAGTGAGAGACCCGGAGGGAGCAGCAGGACACGGTAAAGTGGTAGTGTGACGTGCAGTGACTGGTCCCGTAGTGGGATCAGCCAACGCTACAGAAACAGGCGCAGGAAGTGGTGTAAGTGTCGTGCTGTCCCGAAAGAAGCAGTGGGAGGCTCCAGAGTCCAGTGTGAACGACAGCGAAGCGTCCTCTGAGGTAGTCGCTGGTCTAGAGTCTACACAAGTACCTACACTAGCAACAGGCAACTGAGCAAGACTAGCACCTAAGCTAACAACACCAGAGTAAACAGAGTCAGAAACACTAGAGTCAACAACAGCATACATAGCATGAGGAGCACTAATCAGATCAACTAACTGCTCAGCAGACATGCCCCACAGAGCGGAGCCGTAGCGCTGAACCAGAGGAAGCCAGTCAGGAGCAGGACCGCCAACCCCGTAGGTCAACCGGACCGTGTCAGTGAGCTGAGCAAAGCACTGACCAGGGGGGTGAAAGCGGCCACAAGGGTGGCCCCGACGAGGACCTGTCTGAACCTGGTAGGGGCAGGGAGGGTAAGCAGCACCGCGCTGGGGCTGACGCAGCCCCGACCCCGGAGCCAGCTGCTGACGCTGCTGCTGCTGAGGCTGCTGGGAGGAAAGGGGCTGCTGCTGCTGCTGAAGGTGCTGCTGACGCTGAGCCTGGTACCACGCCGCTGCTCCACCTAGCGGGGCCGGCAGTACAGGAGGCGACTGACGAGCTCGAGGGTCGCCGCCACCAGCAGGTGCAGTGGAGTCACCAGCCGCTGCACGAGGGGTCTCTCCAGACGCTGCACTCCCACCACCGCCAGTCGCAACAGCACCCCCACTACCTCCGCTACCTCCGCCTCCACCTCCACCGGAACCACCTTTCTTGCCCCCCCTGCCGCGGGACCGCGACGCAGTCGTAACAGCAGCCGCAGTCGCGTCAGTAGCGGCAGTGGCAAGAGAGGCAGTGAAGGTGGGTAACTGCGGGACTGTGCACCCGTGGAAGAGTGGGGGGGACACAGTACCAGAGGCGGCAGCTACCGAACGAAGGTTGCTCTCGACGTCCTTGAGTGCAGACTCAAGGACCTCGATAGTCAGCTCACTAGGGTGCTTCAGCAGAAGCGCGTCACGGACGGAGGCAAGGCGGTCAGGGAGGCTAGTGGCGATGAAATAGACAGTAATCGCCATGGGGGGAGGAAGCAGTGCAAGCTGTGCCTCAGTGCAAGCAGCGCGGTAACTAGCGTCGAGCGAGCGGAGGTGAGCGATCAAGTCAGCAGAGCGCTCAAACGAGGCAAGATCAGGAAACAGGAACGGGAGGAAAAGACGGCTGAGAGAGACAGTAGCGGGAGTAGAGTAGCGGGCCTTAATCGCAGTGAGGTACGCAGCAGCGGTGCGAACTTGAGTAAAGTGGACCTCCTCGGACTCAGGGAGGAGGCTGCTGAGTGCGATGCAGGCCGCAGCGTCACGCGACGTCCAAGCCGTCCGGTCAGCGCGCTGACGGGCAAAGCGAGCCGTAGCAGCGTCGTCAGGAGCAGGGCCTAAAGCGGTAGGCTCGGGGGGCTCGGGGAGGTCACCAGTAGCGTGTGACCAGAGGGTCTCGCCCCCCTGGACCTGACTCTCTAACAGACGACGAGCGCGAAGAAGCCAGACGGAAAAGTCAAGGGGTCTACCGTCAGCGTCGAAACGAAGAACTCGCGGAGTCGCCATAGTGAGAACCAACGCGAACGAACAGGCGAGTAACAACCGGGGGGGGAAGAGGACTCAGTCGCAGCGGAAGAGCGGGCTAGGGCGACGGGCCAAAACGTAGGGTAGGGCAACGGGCCAGGGCCTAGGGTAGGGCGACGGGCCAGAGCCTAGGGAGGGCGACGGGCCAGGGCCTAGGGAGGGCGACGGGCCAGGGCCTAGGGAGGGCGACGGGCTAGGGCCTAGGGAGGGAGACGCGACGGGGGAAAGGGCGGGAGCGACGCGACGGGGCAGGGCGACGCGACGGGACAGGGCGACGCGACGGGGCAGGGCGGCGCGACGGAGCAGGGCGACGGGACAGGGCAGGGCGACGCGACGGGGTAGGGCGACGCGACGGGACAGGGCGACGGGACGGGACGGGACGGGACAGGGCGACGCGACGGGACGGGACAGGGCGACGCGACGGGACAGGGCGACGGGACGGGACAGGGCGACGCGACGGGACAGGGCGACGGGACGGGACAGGGCGACGCGACGGGACAGGGCGACGGGACAGGCGGGCGCGACGCGACGGGGGAAACAGGCGCGACGCGACGGGGGGGAACGGGCGCGACGCGACGGGGGGAACGGGCGCGACGCGACGGGGGGAACGGGCGCGACGCGACGGGGGGGAACGGGCGTGACGCGACGGGGGAGATGACGCTAGGCTCGGTACTAGGCGCGGTAACAACTAAACTGGTACGAACGAGAGGTAGGATCAGGCTCGGGAGGTACGAACGGAGAACGGAGGAACGGGATCTCACAGGATCCTAACCTAGCTGATAACATGTCAGAATGAGGAATGGATGTTGCATTGATGTTGGTTGGGGTACATATGACAAACCCTAACTTCTGTACCCCCTAAGACAAACCTCACTACAGGCTACAACATTTGACAATTATCTATTTCTAGCCGGTCATTTGAAACAGCATTTCCGATTCCAAATAAGATGGGACAACTGAATGGCACTTGCTTTTATTATCACCTTGAGCAACTAAGAACTAACACTAGAGAGCGCATCTGTTTTTTCCAATCTCCAATCTATCTCTACTGGTCTAACAAAACAGTCTAATGTTAATCAAGCCAGCACAAACAAAAATCGCACGGGCGTGTATTCGACCTGTAGTTATTTCCTCTCGCAGTGAGTCCCTGTCGATCCGCTTACTGCGTCTGTCAATAGGGGTACTGCCCGATGTAGTTACCAGGCGGGTAGTAATCGCACGCCCAGACCGTCCACCCATTCGCGCAATCCACCCGACCGCACCCAACCTGCTTCGTCGTCTCCCAAACCACTTGCGTGTAGTGCCCGCACTGCTTCCCAGCGCGGCACGAAGCTGGGTATTTCCCATGCTTGTAATCTTTGATCTCGTCCACCCACGCCTGCACTGCATCCGCGTTTTTGTAAAATCCGTTACAGCAGCCCGCGAAAAGGTTCTGTCCCACGCCCTTGGTGTCGCCGTGCTCAAGCTGCATGCACTGATTCTTCTTCGCCAGCACGCGCGCCCAGTTCTGCGCGCGCAGCGCCACTGCGGGCAGAAGGGAAAAGAGAGGAAATGAGATGGATACCGATGGTGAGGGGACGGGGTGCAGCGCCCGCGGACACAGGAGATGTGCGAGAGATGTGCGGGAGGGGCGCAGGAGTAGGGGAGCGCAAAACATATGTTCTCTTGGCGGCAAGGTGGGGAAAACGCGAGGCGGCTGGCTTACATGACACGTTCCACGCGAGCGGCGCGAGGCCGACGGCGCTGCGAGCGGCATTATGCCCCATAATATACTCGAGAACCGCGGAGGTGCCGGTCGCCTCTGGTGGTGGGGAAACAGCCGTACAACGGAACGGGGAAAAACAGGCAGAGCAAAGGAAGGGAATAGCAATTGAGGGCGAGTGAGCAGACACATCGACGTGCAAAAGGACAGTGTGAGAAGGACAGACGGGAAACAAGTGAGGAGTAGGCTTTTCTTTTCCCACTCAAAAAAAGGATCCTGCAGAAAACGGGTGGCGGGGTGCGCGCGCACCTTTGCAGATGCCGCCGACGGGCGGGCTGCCGCTGCGGCAGATGCAGAGTGCCTTGCCGTTGGTGGCCTGGCACGACGCTCCCGCGGGGCAGTTCACGGACGCGCACACGTCTGCGCGGGGAGACGCGGGGGGCAATGGCGGAACGCAGGGGGAGGGAAGGCGGGGAGAGAGAAGACGACAAAGGTGAGGATGAGATACGTAGGGAACGGGAGGTGCGGGGAGAGGAGGGAGAAGAGGAAGGAGAGGAGGGAAGGGAAAGGAGAGCGAGGGAGGAGGTGGTATGAGCAGATCCAAAAGCTACAGGCGGCCAGAAACAAACCCTCACTTTTTCTGGATTTCGTTTCGTTTTTCTTCTTAGCGGGCGGCGCAGACGCCGCAGAACGCGGGGGGGAAGGGGACGGGGAACGCTTGTGGGAAGGGGATTGCGTATGAGAGCGAGTGTTCGCGAGAGTAGCTGCGGCTGTGGAGCGGGTGGAGGAGGAGGGAGTAAAAGGGGCGGGAGTCGTGAACGTACTGATGCACTTGCCGCCGATGGACGTGTAGCCACGCTTGCATGTACACGCGGCAGTACCGGCGGGAGTCACGGTGCATTTGGAATGGACTGGGCAACGAACCGTGGAGCACGCGCTCTTGGCTGAGAGAACGGAGGCGAGACGGGCGGGGGGGGGGCGGGGCGAGGGAGAAAGGAAAAAAAAATTGTGGGAACGCGAGTAGGGAAAGCGCGGGGCGAAGGCATGAATAGCGACGAATATCTATCAAGTTTGGCACAGGCGACGTGAAGATAACGGCGACGGTGACGGCGACGTAGACGGCGACGGTTACGGGTGATGACAAAGGTAACGTCAAAGCGCGAAGTCACTCACCAATAGTGCACGAGACGGATACGGCGCGGCTGTTCTCCGCAGGAAACGCCTTAACGGCAGAGATCGGATAGTCGAACTTATTCGGATCCGCAGGCAAAGGCAGGCTCACGAACACTCCGCCGCCAGTGCACCCGGCCTTCATCCAAAATGTAACCGACTGGCAGATGAAGTGGTTGTGCGTCTTATCCGCCACGTTCCAGACCACCTTCGCAGAGTGCAGGTTCGCGTAGAATCCGCGCGGGAGGGTCACGCAGGTGGCGCTAGGGCTCGGCCACGTGATCAACGCAGGCTTGAGAACCGCGGGGAGGTTCTTGTAGTTGGGGAGATTCCACACGCCCACGCGCGTCCCCACCACGGGGGGGTCTTCGACAGGTGGGACACGTGGCGCGGTGGGGATGACTGGGCGCTTCGGCAGAACGACGGGGGTCGTAGCAGGGGTTTCGGCGATGGGACGCTTCGTGACTGGCTTCTTTGCGACGGCGACGGGAGTTTTGGGGACGACGGGCGTCTTAGGAGCGACGGGGGTCTTAGGAACCACGGGCGTCTTAGGAACCACAGGCGTCTTAGGAGCCACGGGGGTCTTAGGAGCCACGGGGGTCTTAGGAGCCACGGGCGTCTTAGGAACCACAGGCGTCTTAGGAACCACGGGCGTCTGAGGAACGACAGGCGTCTTAGGAACAACCGGAGTTTTGGGAACCACAGGAGTCTTGGGAACAACGGGCGTCTTAGGAACCACGGGAGTTTTGGTAACCGCGGGAGGGGTTGTAGATGCTGGTAGTTTGGGGAAATTTCCGGGCGTGGTGGGTGCAACGGGTGTCTTAGCCGCAGGGGCCTCTGTCGCGCTCTTCCCCTTCCCCTTCTTGCGCCCGCCGCCCTTCTTGTGCCCGCCGCCCTTCTTGTGCCCGCCGCCCTTCTTGTGCCCGCCGCCCTTCTTGTGCCCGCCGCCCTTCTTGTGACCCCCTGCCTTCTTCTTGTGTCCACCGGTCTTCTTCTCCGGCTTGCTGGTGGCCCCCACGACGGTACGGTTTAACGGAGTTCCCTCGTCCACGGCGCTAGCGGATTTGAGAATGCGCTCTGCGTGGGATAAAGGAAAATGAGTATCCAGAAATCAGACACACCGGAACCGGCGTTCGAAAACACGACGAGATGCTTGAAGAAAAACAGACTCAACAGGAAGGCCACTCTCGAGCGGCGTTTTCCGAAAAAAACCACCGAGGATGGGATCGATTCCAGTACTTCGTTCCTATCCTTTCCACGATCATTTTCTGCAACAAGCTGGAAATTGATGCACTTTTGCACGTACCTCGTCTGACAGGCTCGAAGGTGTCGAATTCGATGGGCGGGACGGTTTCGTCCTCGGCGAGATCCAATTGATGCAGTTCTGTCTGCAGTTCCATCATATCCGCGTCCGCTTCCCATGCTTCGGCTGAAAATAGCGCAAGGGGAAACATCATAGCACAGGCAGCAGTCGAAGGTGACGGTCAGAAGGAACTCTTTTCAGGGGTGGGAGTGAAGTGTATCTTCAGGTCAAAGGACGCACAAGACGGCAAAGGCGCATGCTGTGAGTAAGGCAAACTTGGAGATGGAGGGAAGTGAATCGAAGATTGGGGGTGGTTTTCATTCAGGTGGATTGCACACTAATCGTAGTAGAGAAACAACGCAAACCTTTCGTATATTCGCACCTGCGAAGACTGCCGGGATGAGGAGAATGCAAATTGTCAGAAGAACAGCTCTCCATGGTACCGCCATCTTGGAAAGCGGAGCTTCTTCGACAGTCGAACCCTCGGTCTGAAGGTGATTTCTCCCGAAGATTTTGACAGAAATAAATAATGAGGGCTCTAATTACTCTTGCTGTGAGAGATCATCTGTTGGGCCGAGCTGTGAGGCTACTCGTATGGATTCGTAGGAGCTCCTGAAATTATCGGTGATAAGAGATGCACTAACATTACCCTTGTAGGCTACTGGTGCTTGTGAGGAGGGCCCAATTCAACAATTTCGTCACACGAATCATGCCCCGGATTTGATCAATTTTATGACAAATCTGGCGTGCGCCAGCGCGACTCGTTCGTGTGCGCCACCACTTCCCCGTCATCTCCCCTCCCACGGTCCCTGGCCCGCAGAAGCACAACGTGCGGCACTTGCGCTCGATGTGGGCTCAGCGCCCATGACTGTCTGCTGACGGCGTTCCATGCTCGCCGATGTGGCACATTCCATGCACGGATTCACGTCTGTAGTTGGGCGAAACTGCGACGCGTGCTTACGTGGAGAATGGTCTGCAAGCCACAGAGCAAGGTCAAAGGACTGGCGAAGAGCGAAAGTATAGCTCGTGGGTTACTGCTGAACCAAGGTTCGCTTGCGAAATCTTCGTGGACCCACAAGGGCTGGTTGTGCAATTTCACCGAGCCTGTTTTGGAGGGAACCCGAGTATACGTGGTTGGGGTGCTCCCTATCTGCAGTGGCATGGACAACGTGGGTGTCTTGCAAAATCGTGATCTCTCCAACGTGATTGCAAGGAATTGACCAGAATACACTTCAATTGTTAGGCCCCTTGGCCTAAATCCGATAAAGATTAGCGGGGTCGACTAAGTCGAGGACGAAACGCGGCGGAAGACTCTGGCGAAAGAACTATTGGCAAAATAAGCGAAGGATTTACTGAGTAATGGAAGAGTTGAATGCGAATTGGTTGATAATGGCAAGTACAAGCAAGGTTAAAGCAACATGCAAGAGCGATTTGCTGGAAAGTACTTCGTGGGACTACAAAGTAGAAGGCAAGAAAGCTTAAGTGCCACGTGGCACTAGGAAATCTTGGATGAGTTGGATGAAGATAAGGTTGGAATGAGGTTGGGGGATTGTTTTGGGTAAAATACCCTTGAACAGTAAAGTACCCCGTAACACGACCCCGTAACTAAAGGAGGCGACGTCCGCAGCGCCTGTAGACTGAAGGTACGCTTGGAGACAAGCGTTTTCGGGAGACAGCGAGGACGAAGGAACCCAGTTGTCGTCGGTTGCATCGTAACCACACTACAAACCAAGAAGTCGATCAAAGAGACACCCCCCTGAAGACGGCGACGGTGCCTGAGGATTCGCTTGATCTGGCAATCGGGCTCGTTGGTGTCAACAGCTACCGGCAGTAAAGTGCGATCACGGCCCGGAAAGGTGGCGTTGGGATCGGTGTAAGGACAAAGAAGCGACACGTGCATCCAGGCATGAGAAGGAAGGCGAAGGCGGTGTGCGACTGGTCCTAGTGCACGCTCAATGACGAAGGACCAATGAAGCGAGGGCGAAGCTTATTGTCTTGTGGCAGTCAGAGGTTGCGGCTATCCAAAAGAACACGGTCGTCGACTACGAACGACACCTCACGACGACTACGGTTGGTGGTGCGTGCCATGCGTGCATTTGCGAGCTCAAGGTGCTTCCTCACGTGATCATGGATGAATGTGAGATGCTGGTGGAAGTTGTCCGCACGAGGGACTATGGGTGTGAGATTGACACGAGTGGGGACATTGGGGTGCTGACCGTACAGTACGAAGAACGGTGACATGCCTGTGGCGGAGTGGTGCGTGTTGTTGTAGGCGAGCTCTGCCATACTCAGCTTCTTGTCCCATGCTACTGCATCGTGCATCGTGATGCTGCGATGAATCTGCTCCAGAGTCTGGTTCACCCGCTCAGTCTGTCCGTTTGTCTTTGGATGGTACGCAGACGACATGGCTGTCCCAAACAGTGCAAAAAGCTGCTTCCAGAACTTTGAGGTGAGTCGAGGGTCGCGGTCGGAAATGATGGAATCGGGAACCGGTGCAGTCGGATTACGTTATCCACGAACAGCATCGCGGCTTCCTCTGCTATAACCTTGCCGTGCGTGGGGATGAAGTGTCAGAACATTATAGCTTACTTATTTGTGTAGGCTATAGTGGGGTATCCCATAGGGGGTACAAACCAGCTAGGGTTTCCTATTTGTACTCACTTCGTTCATAGTTCACACATTCTCTCGTTCACTTCTTCACATGGTATCAGAGCAGGTTCCCCTGTGGGAACTGTGCTTCGGGCCCACCACCTAGAACTTTTTTTTTCTGCCCTGGCGCCCGCCCTAGTGCCCGCCCTAGCGCCCGCCCTAGCGCCCGCCCTTTCGAGCCGCCCGTTCGCGCCGCCCGTTAGCGCCGCCCGTTAGCGCCGCCCGTGCGGCTGCCCGTTCGCGCCGCCCTTTGCGCAGCCCGTAGCGCCCCCCGTGAGCCGCCGCCCGTAGCGCCGCCCGTGAGCCGCCGCCCGTCGCCACCCTTTAGCGCCGCCCGTGAGCGCCGCCCGTGACGCAGCCGCCCGTGAACCGCCGCCCGTGACGCCGCCGCCCGTGACGCCGCCGCCCGTCCCGCCGCCCGCCCGTCACGCCGCCCGCCCGTGAGCCGGCGCTGCCCGCGAACCGCCCACCCGTGGGCCTTCAGCCCACCCGTGGGCCTTCAGCTCGCCCGTGAGCTGCCGACGCCGCCCGTGAGCAGCCGACGCCGCCGCCGCCACCCGTGAGCCGCCGACGCCGCCGACGCCGCCCGTGAGCCGCCGACGCCGCTGCCGCTGCCGTCGCCCGTGAGCCGCCGACGCCGCCTCCGCCGCCCGTGAGCCGCCGACGCCGCCGCCGCCGCCCGTGAGCCGCCGTCGCCCGTGGGCCGCCGACGCCGCCGCCGGCGCCCGTGAGCCGCCCTGGCCGCCCGCCCAGCCGCCGCCCGAGCCGCCTGAGCCGCCCGAGCCGCCCGGGCCGCCCGCGCCGCCCTAGCCACCCGAACCGCCCGAGCCGCCCTAGCCGCCCGAGCCGCCCGCGCCGCCCGAGCCGCCCGAGCCGCCCGAGCCGCCCGAGCTGCCCGAGCCGCCAGAGGAGCTGCTCTCCTGCTCCTGTCGGGCTACTGCTGCTCCTGGGCTGTGTACCTGCGCCGCTGACCTACCCGACTCTTCCTGCCCGGTGAGACTGTCAGCTGCTGTCATGGCCACCCCCAATGTCCTAGCTTTTGACGCTGAGGGTAGAGCCATTGACTTTGCAGTCTGGATTGAGGACCTGCAGCTGTACTTACTGTGTGATGCGGTCGATGAGGTCTCTCTCTTTGACTTTGTCTCTGGCGCTGTCCCTGCCCCTCCTCCTGATGCTGATTCCGCCGTTCGCTCCAAGTGGGCGACCCACGATGCTGCTGCACGTCTTGCTGTGCGTCGCCACCTCCCTTCCTCCGAGCGTGCCCACTTTAGTCAGTGCAAGACCGCTCAGGCCTTGTACGACGTGTCAAAAGTTAGAAGAAGAAAGAGGGTTGAACTAGCAGAAATGGGGATACAAATAGCAAACCCTAGAAGGGTTGTACTCGCTATAGAGCACCCCACTACAGGCTAGAACATAAGAATAACATTCTGACACACCCCCATAGCCAAAGTGGGGTGTAATCAGCAGAGCAAGCAAAGCAGTACAAGCTCAGGGTGGATCACAATGTCACCACACATTCTGAGCACAAGTTCAAGAAGTAAGTTCAAGTGCACAATTATGAGCAAAGCTAGTGGTGGTCACAACGGGCAAGTGAGGAGGAGGAGTGAGAGCGAGAGGAGTTGGGAGGCGACGGCTGAAGCTGCAGACACTCGGGCAACAGGAGGCACACTGGCACAGCGGCTACCGGGCGAAGCCCCCGGAATACTGGAGTAACTGGCCCCGCGGCTAAAGTAGCGGCAGACGAGCAACGGACCCACGGGCGGCTGGCACAGCTGGCTACGACTGGGCTACCGGGCGAAGCCCCCGGAATACAGGTGCTGCTGACGACACGACGGCAACCTCCATGCAGCTTCCCTAACTATCCAACTCCCCCAACACACACCCGCTGATACGCTCCTAGCTCCACTCCCACGCACCCCCCTTAAACCCTAAACCCGAGTCTCCCACACAACCACCCCCCTCAGCGATAGCTGCAGCAGTGGGAGACGAAGGAGGAGGAGAAGGGGACGGCACGCACAAACGACACCCCCACAACCATCACCCCCATACCCGTCACCCCCATACCCTGAGTGTGCGGTAAGCGAGCTCAGGTGTGCGTGAAGCGTGCACAAGCTTACGGGAAGCGAACTCGGATGTGCGGTAATCGAACTCAGGTGTGCGGGGAGGGGGGCCGCAGGGTGACGCGCGGGTCGACGGGGACGGGTGCACGGGTCCCCAGGGGCGGCGCGCGGGTCGACGGGGCCGCCACGAAGGGCGACCGGAAGCCGCGCGCGGGTTGACGGGGCCGCCGCGAAGGGCGACGAGGAGCCGCACGCAGGTCGACGGGGACGGGCGTGCGGGTCGACGGAACGCGAAACCGCCGCGTGCGCCCAAGGTGCGCGGTGGGCAGAAAACCGCCACGCGTCCCGAGCGCATGGCGTGAAGAATACCGCCGCGCAAAGCAGGTAACCGTCGCGCGCCTCGAGGCGCACGGTGGGCAGAAAACCGCCGCACGCCCCGAGCGCGCGGTGGGCAGAAAACCGCCGCGCGCCTCGGGGCGCACGGCGGGCAGAAAACCGCCGTGCACCTCGGGGCGCAGGGCGGGAAGAAAAAATGCCGCACGCCACGGGGCGTGCGGCACAGAGAGTAGTAGTAGCAGTTGCAGCGGAAGCAACGAGGTGGTGAGCCCACCCAGAGGATCGATCCAAGGGGATCGACCTGCTCTGATAGCATGTCAAAAGTTAGAAGAAGAAAGAGGGTTGAACTAGCAGAAATGGGGATACAAATAGCAAACCCTAGAAGGGTTGTACTCGCTATAGAG